GATGTCGCCATTCGAGTTTGAGCATGGTTCACCCATCTCATCGCCGTTGGACGCCACTTTGCCGCGCACAACCGAGAGCAACAACCATCTTGCGTTCCTCCGTCGCATGCAAGATCTTCTTATCAAGGCACGAGATCAGATGTCGAAGACGCAAATACGGATGAGCCGTCAAACCAACTGCAATCGCCTTCCTTGCCCGTTCCGCGCCCGCGATCTGGTTTGGGTCTCCGCCGCGGAGTTCAGCCTTGAGTAAGACATCTCTCGCAAGCTCCTTCCCAAGTGGATGGGGCCTTGGCGCATTCTCTCTGCAGTTGGTGATGATCCCGAGGGGCCTTCATTCCGCATCRCGGTGCCACCTCACTTGCCCGTCCACACGGTGTTCCACTGTTCCAAACTCGCTCCTTTCGTCTCAGCGGAGTCCGACGAGTTTCCCGGTCGACGTACGCAAGACCCTCCTTCCATGGACGGATTTCAGGAGGCCGGCTACATCATCACTGACCGGCGCCATGGCAACAAAGTAACAAAGTTTCTACTTCACTTTTCCTACTGGAGCCACAAGGCTGACCGTTGGCTGACGCGTTCGGAACTGCAGGCCACAGCTCCCGCCGTTCTCTCACGTTATCTTAGCAAAGGGAAGACTACGCCGAGCACTCCAGCTCCTCGCATTCCTCGCTACATTCTGCCATCGGATCGGCAGCTTCGCCCGCGCCCCGGCTCGTCTTCATAAGGAGGGGGGCGTGTTACATGCTGAAAGCCTACACACGGGCCCCTCACTGGACCCGAGGGTGGAATAGGGCCCCCAGGTCGCGTCACCGCAACCTGAAGGCCCTATGGCATTTTTACTTGGGCCTGCATCAGAAAAACGCCAGCTTTAGATTATTTGTATATTCTTTTATTTATTTATTTGCTGCTGTTTTTCTAACGGTTGTACTGTTGTTCGTTTTGTGGCCAGGTACACGTTTTAGGACCAGGGCCAGATTCAGGCCCAGAGGCTGAGCTCCTAAAAACGTTTGGACCTTTTCTTTTGTTTTCGAACAGATTTCTACCTGTTCGGACCCAGGCCGACGTTGAGGCCGGGTACGTCCGCACAGGACCAGTTCGAAGGCCAGGTACCAGGAAACTGAATCCTGGACAGGGCCTGGACGTCCGGTAGGGACCCAGGCAGGCCGTTTTTAGGCCAAGGACTGAACCAGTTTCAAAGCCTGCGATCTGGACCGTGGATCGGGGTTTCGATCTGCACGGTCCAGAACGCAGGCCGTGGGTTTTCAGTCCTGGCCCAGCGCTACTTAAGCTGGGCCATTGCCCAGTTCGTGGACAGAAGGACCAGGAGAAATCCAGCGTTATGCTGGTTCAGGAACTTCGCTGCTGCGCTATTTTGGAGACTCCCTGCTGCGCTATTTCGAGACTGCAGCTGCGCTGCTCATCGGCCATGAGGCACAGCGCTGGAGGAGTCCAGCGCCGAGGAGGGT